CGCCTGTGTTTTTTCCTGTGGCCAGGCGCGGATGCCAGTGCGCCCTTGATTTGTCGTTGCTGTACTTAGCAGTGTTCAATTATGTTATGCTCGATCAGGTTCTATCCTGCTTTCTTACATTATGATTCATATGATATGTTATGCTGTCGACGGGACGGCGTGACGCCGTGACGCCTGTCACGTTGTCCGATCGATCGTTGCTGCGCCTCTTTGTACCTGTGGCCTGGCTGACTTTGGCGCGTACGTCGCGCTTGATTATGATATGGTACGGCCCAGTACGTCATAAAGTTTCTCTTCAATGATTTCTTCTGTTAGAGTATGATCTGTGATGCTCCCCTCTGTCGTTGTATGATTCGATATGGTATGAGATGCTCTGGTCGGCTGCGCCACGTTATGACATTATACGTGTGCTCTGTCAGGTTCGGCTATGTCATGCCATTGTCTGTGATGCTCCTCGGGGTGTGTTCATTTCGATAGATTCTCTAACATGAAGTTACAACCAATCACGTTGTAACTAAGTTGTTGACGTAGGGGTAGCAGTAGTACAACAGCTATGTGATGTGATCATGATTACGGTGTGCTCTATTGGTTATATGATGTTGAGTTGATCATGGTCTAGTACGTTGTGTTCTATTGTGTCTGTTTTGTTCCCGGCTGGCTGGCGTGACGCCGTGACGCCGTCACGATAGATATGTCGTCCGATCGTTCGTTGCTGCGCCTGTTTGCTCATGTGGCCGGCCTGGCCTCGGCGCGCACGTCGCGCCTGCTTATACTGTAGTACAGTCGATCATGTTGTGATGATATGCTTTGTCATGTTGTGAAGAGCTGCGGCTTTGTGTTATGCCATGATGTGTTATGCCATTGGATGGCATGTTATGTGTTCGTATGGTATGCTATGTTCTGGTTGCCACGAGGTGCGATGTTCTGTTATGCGATGTATGCTCCATGATGTCATTACATGCGTTGTTAGGTTGTGTCCTGCTATGTCCTATGCTGATATGTGATGGCATGGTATGATGTGCCCTGTTATGGGGTTATGGTGTATTATGCCACGCGATGCTACAATGTGTTAGGCCGCGCTCTGTCATGGTAGCACGTGTCATATTATGTAATGCAACTCGCTTTAATGCCGATGCGGTGTGATCTGCTCTGCCATGGTATGTAAGTGTATGACGGGTTATGTAATCGTATGTCTGTTTTGCATGATACGGTATGACATAATGTAGGGTGTTATGGTATGATTTGTTCTGATATGTTGTAAAATCTTATGCCGAGCCCTGCCATGTTATTCTATGTAGCAAGTGTCGCGATGCGATCTGTCATGGTACGTTTGCTTTGATGATGTGCCATGTAAAGGTGTGCCCTATCATGGCATGGTATGTCATGATATGGTATGTCAGGTTACGCTGCGGTATGCTATGGGTTGTCATGTTATGTGTGTTCCTATATGTCATAGCGCGTGTTGTTGTGATGTGTTGTGTTTTGCTCGTATATGATATGCCATGTGAGGCTAAGGCATGCTATGTCTTGGTATGTTCAGTTATGCGATGTTTTCTTGCGGTAGGCTGGCCCTGTCAAGTTATGCAACGATATATGTTGGAATGCTGTGCTATGGTATGCGCTGATCTGTCATGGTGTGTTATGTTACGATATGTCCTGTCATAGTCTGGTATGTTATGCTCGGACATATTATGTTAGATGGTGTATTGGTATGCGCTGTTCTGTCATAGCTTATGGTGTTGTGCTGTACTATGTTCTGCTATTTCCCTACCTAGGCTCTGCCTAGAGGGTTCTTATTCTATTAGCTTAAAGGGGCCGGGCAGTGGGCTTCGCCCCGGGCGGTTCCCCCGGTCCCCGCCCCGCGGTTCCCCCAGTTGCGCCCCCTTACTTTAGTTTTGCGTATCTCATCTTAGCTTAGCTTAGCTTAGCTTAGCTTCATCTTAGCTTCGCTTAGCTGTAGCTTAGCTTAGCTTAGCTTAGCTTAGCAGAACGAGGTCCCTACCAAGCGTCCCACGACGAGCACGTAGAGGCCGAGGTCACTACAAAGCGTCCCACGACCAGCACTAGAGGCCGAGGTCCCTACGAAACGTCCCACGACGTGCACGTAGTGGCCGAGGTCCCTACCAAGCGTCCAACGACATGCACTAGTGGCCGAGGTCCCTACCAAGCGTCCCACGACGAGCACGTAGAGGCCGAGGTCACTACAAAGCGTCCCACTACCAGCACTAGAGGCCGAGGTCCCTACAAGACGTCCCACGACTTGCACGTAGTGGCCGAGGTCCCTACCAAGCGTCCAACGACATGCACTAGTGGCCGAGGTCCCTACCAAGCGTCCCACAACGAGCACGTAGAGGCCAAGGTCACTACAAAAGCAAATGCAAAACCAAGCAAAAGCAAAGCAAAAGCAAAAGGCTTCGCTTAGCTTAGCTTAGCTTAGCTGAACTAAGCTACAGCAACAGCAAAGCAAAGCAAAGCACTAGCAACGCAAAGCAAAGCAAAGCAAAGCAAAGCAAAAGCAAAAGCAAAGCAAAGGACAGGCAACGCAAAAGCAATGTGCAACAGTACGATCAGAGAGCCCACCCGGTGAGCGAATGGCGTGTGTGTGTGTGTGTGCGAAGGCAAAGCAAAAGCAAAAGCAAGCAAAAGCAATGACACGCAAAGGCAAAAACAACTACGACGATGAGGAGAAGGAGAAGGACGGCGTTTACTGTTACTACTCATGCTGCTTTCCTAGGGGCTCCAACTCCTAGGTAGGGTCGCACTGTGGTAATTTATAATACCGTTCTGTCTTTCCCCAATCAGTGCTTGCACTGAAGAGGTCCCAGCGGAGGTTGAAGGTTTTGGCGGACATTTCCCGTTGATTTTGGTCGCACGCTGGGTTTCCGTGTTCCCGGTTCAGGGCTCCCGGGTTCCCGGGCCGATTTCGGTGGGCGGCGAGGTTCCCAGGTTCCCGGGTTCGGTTTTTGGTCGATCTTCTTACCGATTGGTCTCAGCATCGATCTCATTTCCCACCTCTATATCGATCTCACCATCGATCTCGCGATCGATCTCCCTATCGATCTCATTGAATCGATGTCACTCTCGGTCTCACGATCGACCTTACAATCGTCCTCCATCGATTACACGATCGATCTCACAATCGATCTCAATATTCGTATGACTAACTGTCAGGTGTAATGTTATGATATGGGGTTTTCTCCGGTGTAATGTTATGATTCGTCGGCGCGCAGCGGGACACTCGGGGATGCTCGGGGGACCTGGGGATCTGGCGGCCGCGGTATGCAGAGGGGCGCGAGGCGGGACTCTCGGGGATACTCTGGGCCTGGGGATTTGGCGGCCGTGGTATGTAGGGTGGACGGATCGGGAGGTCTGTTCTTAAAGCCTAACGACCCCAACCTGCCTGGTTGGGAAATACATGTTGTTCTGATCTCGACGGGGCGGCGTGACGTCGTGATGCCTGCCGCGTTTGATGTGTCGTCGAATCTAAAGGCTGTCGCCTCTGCCGCCGACCCCAATGGAGTGACGAATGTTTGATTCGTTTGTTGTCCGGGTGCTTCTCCGAACACGTCAGGACGGGTTTAGATGAGTCTCCAGATTCTCTGTTGCATCTCGGACTCCTTTTGGGGCAGTTTTGGAGCCTCGTGGGGTCGCTGTAGGGTTCTTTTGGGGGTTTCTTGCAGCTTTTTGGGGCCTCTCGGGTGCCTCTTGGGGCCTCCTGGGGCCTTCGCGGGGCGGAGCGCTACGATTTTGAGGTTGTGTTCCTTCTCTTGGGCCACTTTCGGGGCCGTCATGGGGTTTTGTGGGCGGCCTCTTGGGCAGTGCTGGGGTGGCATTCGGGTCCTCGGGAACGCCAGAATCTTCGAAACAACGCAGGCACATCAATGCGTTGTGCCTCTTCAGGTCCTGTTGGGAGGCATTTTCGAGGCTTCTTGGGACATCTTGGGGGCCTTTAGGGCCATCTGGACGCCGCGTAGGGCGTCTTGGCGCAATCTTTAAACAGTCGGGGCGTTTGGGGCCGTCTTGGGTGCTTCTTGGGCCTTGTTGGCCTGTTTGGAGGTTGCCATCGCTCCGAAACCTTCACGCGAGAGACCGCGAGAAGCCCCCCATGGTAAGATTTCGCGATGTGGGGTTTAGGATTCCGAACGACTCCTCAGGAGTACGGACTGAGGTTGAGAGGATGATGGTACGAACCTGACGGCACGCCCATTCCGTGCCCAGAAGCACGGTGGCGGATCTACAGGACCATGATACTTCGGTGATCATGGTTCTGACGGATCGCATCGTATTTCCGAGCTCCAAAGGGGAAGCCGTTTGGGGCAGTGACTTTGGTTAGCGGCGGTTGGTAGATTGGGCGAGGTGGCAAAAGTTATCCAGAAGCAGCGAGGGTTCCATCCCCGAAGGGGAAAAATGGGGTTGGACAAGGAATCGCGATGGACCATTGCCTGCCCAGAAGGCGGGGGGGATTATGAGCTAGGAGGCCCCATGCGAGAAATTGTCTGGGTCGGTGGCGGCGTTGCCAGCATCGTTCTGTTTGGTCCCTGAAATGCCGTTTGCGATGCGGTCCGGTCGGTCTGGCTTGGGACATCCCTTCAATTTTGGTCTTCGAGATGCCGCGCCGCTGTCCTGAGGCGGTCCAGGCATTTTGGCTTCAGACATCCTCGCAGTCGTAGGTTTCGAGGCACGCGAGAGATCCCCTCCAGCTTCTCCTCGCGCGCTCTCGCAACTCAGGGCTCATGGATGCCCTGATCTGAACTGGTCCCCCCAGTTTCGTTCCACATTTCCTCACAACTATGCGCTCGGATATGACCTGGCCTGCGGTCGTCCAGCCATCTTCGCCCGATCCATCCTCTTCATTCTGGGTTCGTCGATGCTTTTGTCTCACGGTATCCGATCCCGTTCCTCGTTGTGCAGTTGCCGTGGATTGTTCGTTTCGCTTGAGATCTCCTTGCAACTCCGGGATCATGCACTTCGGTTCTCACCTCACGTGGTCCCGGTCTTTTGTCGCGTGGGCGATCCTCGGGGTTGCGTTTTCGGGGAAGGTTTCGAGAAAATTCCAACACCAGTGCAGGTAGCATCACGCCATAAACGGAGGAGGAGCAGGAGGAGGAGGAGGAAGAGGAGGAGGAGGAGGAGGAGGAAGAGGACAAGAAAGGGGAGGAGGAGGAGGAGGAGGAGGAGGAGGAGGAGGAGGACCACTCCCCTTCCTCCTCCTCCTCGTCCTCCTCCTCCTCCTCCTGGGGGGCGCCGGTTGCTTTCCCGTGGCCGACCTCGGCCCTGGTGCTGGCGAGGAGGGGAGGAGGGGGGCGGGGAGCGCATGGCAGGGCAGGCCTCGGCTGCTGCTCCGATGCGTTTCTGCGCCTCCCTCCCTCCTCCCTCCCCTCCCTCCCTCCCCTCCCCCTCGCCCATCCCTCCCTCCCTCCCTCCTCCCTCCCTCCCCTCCCCCCTCGCCCATCCCTCCCTCCCCTTCTCTCCTCTCACGCCCTTGGCCCCCCCCCCTCCGCCCTCCCCCTACGGCCTGCGGCCCATGCTCCGTCCACTGAGCGAGGGAGGGAAGGATGGGGGCCTCTTAGGCCGGGTCCGGGCAGATGGGGCCGAGTGATCGCACCGCGTCGCTGATGCATCGGCGACGCGGCTCGATGTGGAGCCTGACTTTCTCCGCGTCGACGTCGCCAGATCATCGCCGATGCATCGCCGATGCGGCGCGATTTTCCCACCCCATCTACTTGGACTCCATGTGGGAGGCCTCCAGGGAGGGGCGGGCGCGGGGGCGTCCACGGGCCCTCAGGGGGCGAGGGAGGCTCCTCCTCCTCCTCCTCCTCCTCCTCCTCCTCCTCCTCCTCGTCCCCCTACAAGATGTGAGAGGGATGCCCACATTGGGGGCCACATGGCGGGCGGGGCGCGCCTAGGGCATGTGTTCCAGCATTCCCGGCCCATGGCGTCGGTGACGCTGGGCGAATGTCAGCTTGTGTGCGAGAGTGAGCCTCGGGCCACGCGTCGGCAGGATGGGCGTCCACAATATGGAAAGGGACGTTGTTCCAACCTTGCTGCTGGGCTCCCCCGGGCGTGCCGAACCTGGGAGCAGCCTGGTGTGGTTTGGCGCCTCCTTCGTTCGCGCCCCCTCCTTGCCCCGTCCACGGGCCCTCAGGCGGCGAGGGAGGGAAGGCTGGGGCGGGCGTGGGGGCGGCAAGAACCAGCGGCGGGAGCACCCTCCGCGGCCCCCTTCCCGCCTCGGCCCGTCGCCCCCACCCCTCGCCCCTTGGCCTTCCATCCCCTTCGAGAGCGAAGGAGGCCGCCGCCATCGCCGCCGCCGCCGTCGCCACCACCGCCGCCGCCGCCGCCGCCGCTGCCGCCGTCGTCGTCGCCGCCGCCGCCGCCGTCGCCTCCGTCGCCGCCGCCGCCGCAGTCGCCGCCGTCGTCGGGGACTGGCCCGCGCGGCGGCGGCGGGAGTGCGCGGCGCGGGCGCGGGCGCGCGGCGCCGCGGGCGCGAGGTGGGCGGGCCGGGCGGTGCGCTGTCGGAGCCCGCGTGGTGGCTGGAGGCGGCCGCGCTGGCCCTTGCCCTTGGCCCTGGCCCTTGGCCCTGGCCCTGGCCCTTGGCCCTGGATCGAGGGTCGTCGAGAATCGGAGGTGAGGGGGTGAGATCGAAGTGGAACGGAGAGCCCCCCTACCGGGAAATCGATTTCGGTTTCGTGTTCGTGCGTGCCGTGCGTGCGGGCGAGGCGAAGCTGCGTGGGCGGGCGAGAGAAAGTCTCCTGTGGCTGAGGCGCGGCCGGACGAAATGATTCCTTTCCGGGCGGCCGGGGCCCCGCGGTGTCCCGCGGGTGTCCCGCTGGACGATGTTGATGTTTTGTTTTGATGATCGATAGTGAGATCGGTAGTGATATCGGTTGTGAGACCGAACGTGAGATCGAATGTCAGATCGATTGTGAGATCGATTGTGAGATCGATTGTGATACCGAATGTGAGATCGATAATGAGATCGATAGTGAGATCGACTGTGAGACCGAATGGGGTATCGATTGTGAGATCGATTGTGATATCGATAGTGAGATCGATAGTGAGACCGAATGTGAGATCGATTGTGTATTCTATTGTGAGATCGATAGTCAGATCGATTGTGAGATCGATCGATTGAGTTAGTAGTGAGATCACAATCGGTAATGAGATCGGTAGTGATTTCGATAGTGAGATCGATGATGAGACCGAATGTGGGATCGATTGTGAGTTCGGTTGTGATATCGATAGTGAGATCGATAGTGAGATCGATAATGAGATCGAAAGTGAGTTCGATAGAGAGATCGATAGTGAGGCCGAATGCTAGATCGATTGTGAGATCGATTGTGATATCGATAGTGATATCGATAGTGAGACCGAATGTGAGATCGATAATGAGATCGATCGTGAGTTTGATAGTGAGATCGATAGTCAGATCGAATGCGAGATCGATTGTGATATCGATTGTGAGATCAATAGCGAGACCGAATGTGAGATCGATTGTGGGATCGATTGTGAGATTGATTGTGAGATCGATAGTCAGATCGATTGTCAGATCGATCGATTGAGATCGATTGTGAGATCGGTAGTGAGCTCGATAGTGAGATCAATCGAGTGCAACGTTGGTCCCTCCCCCCCCTCACCTCCTTATCACCCGAAGGGTGGTCTATGCGGTATTACTATTGTGTGGAAGGTTTTTTTGAGCTTTCTCGCACCGCCCCCCCCCCCGACGACGCCTGCCGACGACGACGACGGCGCCGACGGCGGCGACCCGGACGACGCCGACGGCGACGACGACGACGACAACGACGGCGACGACGCCGACCACGACGACGACGGCGACGACGCCGGCGACGACAGCGACGACGACGACGCCGACGACAACGACGACGCCGACGACGACGAGGACGATGACGACGACGACGGCGATGACGATGACGATGACGGCGGGTGACGACGACGACGCCGCCGACGACGAGGACGACGACGACGACGGCGCCGACGACTCTGGCGACGACGCCGATGCCGACGCCGACGACGACGACGGCGACGGCGGCGACGACAACGACCACGACAGCAACGGCGACGATGATGACGACGCCGACGCCGACGACGACGCCGACGACGATGACGCCGACGACGACGCCGATGCCGACGACGACGACGACGCCGACGACGACGACGACAACGATGACGATGGCGTCGACGACGACGACGACGACGGTGACGACGACGACCACGATGGCGATGACGATGTCGACGCCGCCGCCGCCGACGACGACGACGACGGCGGCGACGGCGACGACGAAGCCGACGCGACGACGACGACGACGACGACGACGCCGCCGACGCCGACGATGACGACGCCGCCGCCGACGACGACGACGGGGATGACAGCGACGACGACGAAGCCGACGACGACGACGATGGCGACGCCGACGACGCCGACGACGACGGCGACGACGACGGTGTCGACGACGACGACGACGGCGACGACGACCCCGACGACGCCGACGACGATGACCACGACGGCGACGACGACGATGGCGACGACGACGACGACGATGACGCCGCAGCCGCCGACGATGACGACGCCGACGACGACGCCGACGCTGACGACGAAGATGACGACGACACTGACGACGACGACGACGGCGACGACAACGACGACGGCGACGACGCCGACGATGGGGACGCCGACGACACCGACGTTGACGACGACGCCGGCGACGACAGCGACGACGACGACGACGACGCCGACGACGACGACGACGCCCACGACAACGACGACGACGACGCCGACGACGGCGACGACGATGACGACGACGACGCCGACGACGACGCCGGCGACAACGACGACGACGCCGACGAGGCCGATGTCGACGACGACGCCGACGACGACGGCGACGACGACGACGTCGACGGCCACGACGACGACAACGACGACGTCGACGACGACGAGGTTGAAGATTTCGACGCCGCTGCCGCCGCCGACGACGATGACGACGCCGACGACGACGGTGGCGACGACGACGACGGCGCCGACGACGACGTCGACGACGACGAGGACGACGTTGGCGTCGACGATGACGACGCCTACGACGACGCCGACGACGACGTCGTCAACGACGACGACGATGACGACGACGACGACGACGAGACCGCGACGACGACGCCGACGACGCCGACGCCGACGACGCCGACGACCCCGACGACGCCGACGACGCCGACGCGACGCCGACGACGACGACGCCGACGACGCCGACGACGCCGACGACAATGACGACGACGCCGACGACGACGACGGCTGCGACGACGACGCCACCGACGACGCCGCCGACGACGCCGACGACAACGACGACACGGCAACCGCGACGACGACGCCGACGACACCGACGCGACGACGCCGACGAATCGCTGACGACGCCGACGACGATGACGCCGACGACGCCGACGCCGACGACGCCGACGACGCCGACGACGACGTCGACGACGCCGAGGACCTTGATGGCGTCGTCGATGGCGACGCCGCCGACGACACCGACGACGACGGCGACGACGCTGTCGACGACGATGACGACGACGACGAGACCGCGACGACGACGCCGACGATGCCGACGCCGACGACGCCGACGACGCCGACGACGACAACAACGACGATAAGACGGCGACCACGACGACGACGCCGACGATGCCGACGACTACGACGCCCACGACGCCGACGTCGCCGACGACGCCGACGACACTGACGACGACGCCGACGACGCCGACGACGCCGACGATGGCGACGACGCCTACGACGGCGAGGACGACGACGATCATGCCGACAACGATGTCGACGACGACGACAACGACGATGACGCAGACAACGACGCCGACGACGCCGCCGACGACGCCAACGACGACGCCAAAGACGACGCCGACGACGACGACGACGATCATGCCGACAACGATGTCGACGACGACGACGACGGCGACGACGCCGACGACGACGCCGACGACGACGACGTCGCCGCCAACGGCGCCGACGACGACGACGCTGACGACAACGATGGCGACGACGACAAGACGGCGACCGCGACGACGACGTTGATGACGCCGACGCCGAGGACGCCGACGACAACGACGACAACGAAGACGCCGACGACGCCGACGACGCCGACGCCGACGCAGACGACACCGACGACAACGACGACGACGACGCGGACGACGACGATGGCGACGACAACGAGACGGCGACCACGACGACGACGCCGGCGACGACGCCGACGACGCCGACGACGCCGACGAGGCCGACCACGACGACGACGCCGATGACGACGACGCCGACGACGACGAGGACGACGCCGGCTACGACGACTCCGACGACGCCGACGAGGCCGACCACGACGACGACGCCGATGACGACGACGCCGACGACGACGAGGACGACGCCGGCTATGACGACGCCGACGATGACGACGGCGACGACGACGACGCCGACGACGCCGACGACGACGTTTGTGACGCTGATGACGACGATGACGACGAAGACGAGACGGTGACCGCGTTGCCGACGACGCCGACGCCGACGACGCCGACGACGCCGACGACGCCGACGACGCCGACGACGACGCCGAGAACGCCGACGACGCCGACGACGCCGACGCCGACGCCGCCGACGAAGCCGACGACGACATCGACGACGAGGACGACGACGCCTACGACGACGACGAGACGGCGACCACGACGCCGACGACGCCGACGACGACGACGCCGACGACGCCGACGACGCCCAGGACGCTGGCGACGACGACGCTGACGCCGACGACGCCGACGACGACGACTTCGCGGACGCCGACGATGGCGACGACGACGACGAGACAGCGACCACGACGCCGACGACGCCGACGCCGACGACGATGACGACGACGCCCACGACGCGGACGACGCTCACGACGTCGCCGACGACATCGACGAGGCTGATGACGACGACGACGACGCGGGCGACGACGATGACGACGACGAGACGGTGACCACGACGACGACGCCGACGACGCCGACGCCGACGACGCCGACGACCACGACGACGCCGACGACTACGACGCCGACGACGACGCCGCCGACGAAGCCGACGACGACAACGACGACGCCGACGACGCCAGCGACGACGACGCTGATGACGACGATGACGACGAGGACGAGACGGCGACCGCGACGACGATGCCGACGACGCCGACGCCGACGCCGACGACGCCGACGACGACGACGACGGCGACGACGACGGCGACGGCGACGCCGACGACGCTGACGGCGCGGACGACGACGATGGCGACGACGTCGAGACGGCGACAACGACGACGACGCCGACGACGCCGACTACGACGACGACGCCGATAACGCCGACGCCGACCACGCAGAGGACGCCGACGACGACGACAACGACGCCGACGACGACGACGCCGACGACGTCGACGACGGCCAGGACGCTGACGACGACGACGCTGATGACGACGATGACGACGTGGACGAGACGGCGACCGCGACGACGACGCCGACGACGCCGACGCCGACGACGCCAACGACGCCGACGACGCCCACGACGACGACGACGCTGACGACGGCGACGACGACGCCGAGAACGCCAATGACTCCGTCGACGCGGACGACGACGACAACGACGACGCTGACGACGACGACGCCGCCGACGACGCCGACGACGACGACGACGCTGACGACGACAACCACGACGCTGACGACGACGACGACGCCGCCTACGACGCCGACGACGACGACGCTGACGACGACGACGACGACGAGACTTCGACCGCGACGATGCCCCCGACAACGCCGACGCCGACGACGCCGAGAACGCCAACGACGGCGACGACGCCGACGGCGACAACTATGACGACGCCGACGGCGATGATGACTCCGACGACGACGCCGACGCCGACGACGATGCCGCCTCCTGCTGCTGCTGCTCGTCCGGCCGCCTCGGCCTGCCCCCCCGACCCGCCTGTTAGGGTCTACCCGCCCGATCTGCCCATCTCGTTCTGCAGCGTTCTTTCTTCGCCTGATCCCTCCCTCGTGCTCCATCGTCCTCCCTCCCTCTTCCATCCGTTCTCTCTCCCCCTGTTTTGGGGGCTGCGCCAACTACACGCGGCAGGTAGGGAAGATATAACCCCCAACGGGGGCACGATGAAAGACGAATGGGGCGGGTACCGAGGGTGCGAGATGCACGTATTGAATGGCATGCAAGTGCGTAAGAACGAACAGTCTGAAACTGATTGTTGTTGTTGTGGTGGTGGTTGTTGTAGTAGTTGAACTCTCATGACTGAAGAATCATTATTGTTGATCCCCCCTCCGGGGCACACTGTGTTTTTTTCAATGCCCTTCCCGGGGCTCGCACTCTGTTTTCTATCAGCGACAGTCTAGGGTCTCAGAATTGTGTCTTCGGCCCCCGGTTTACAGCAACAGCGGCTCCCGCTCTGTTTTTTCTCACGATGTATTGGAGAATCGCGCTCTCGCGCGGGACTTCCTCCTCAATTATCCAGGAATCGTGCTCTCGCGTGGGACTTCCTCGCAATTCATTCAGACGCCGCGCCCTCGACACTCAGGAGTCAAGCTCTCTCTGTGAATTTCCTCGCGATTAATGGGGGAATCGCGCTGTCGCTCAAGACTTCTCCGCCATTCATGCAGGATGCACTTTTCAGCAACCCGTCTGCGCCTTGTCCCTTCTTTCAATCCGTCCTCTCTTCCCCTGCCTTATGGGCTGCACGAAATACACGCTGCAGGTAAGAAAGACGTACCCCCAAGGGGATATGACCGAACATCCAGACGGTATTGAGGATTTGGGATATACGTGTCGAAGCGCACGCGAACTTATAAGAGTGAACAGTCTTACGATGCTTGTTGCTGTTGGTGTTGGTGTTGGTGTTGCTTGTGCTAGTGATGTTATTGTTGTTGTTGCAGTTGTTGTTGCTGTTGTTTTTGGTGTTGGCGTTTTTGGTGGTGGTGGTGTTGTTGTTACTGTTGTTGTTGTTGGTGATGTGTGTTGGTGTTGCTGTTGCTGCTGCTGGTGTTGAACTCTCACTTCTGAAGAATATGTATACTTGATCCCCCCCTCCGGTAACATATGTGTTTTTTCAATTCAGTGCCCCTCCTGGGGCTCGCACCCTTGTTTTGTCAGGGGAAATCTTCCTAAAACTGCGCCCCTGGCCCCCGGACTACAACAACAACGGCTCCCGCCTGATATTTCCACGCAAGTTCTTCCCAAATCGCGCTTTCGCGCAGGGCTTCTTCACAATGTACGCAGGAATCGCGCTCTCGCATGGGACTTCCTTGCAATGTATTCCGACGCGGCGCCCTCGACATTCAGGGGTCACGCTCTCGCTGTGGATTTCCTCGTGATTTATTTGGCAATCGAGTTATCGCTCGAGACTTCCTCACGATTCATGCAGGACGCACGCTTCAGCAACCCGCCTGCTTGACCTGGCCGCCTGGGCCTTCCTTCCCGGTCGCCAGGTAGGGTCTACCCGCCCGATCTGCCCGTCTGGTTTTGCCACGTGCTTTCTGCTTCTAGCCCCCCTCCTGCTACTCTCTCGCGTGCTCCATCCTCCTCCCTCCCCCTTGTCCCTTCCTTCCATCCGTCGTCTTTTCCCCTGCCTCAGGGGCTGCACGAAATACACGTTGCAGGTAAGAAAGATAACCCTCCAAGGGGGTACGGTCGAAGACGAAGAGTGCGGGTATCGAGGATTTGGGATATGCGTGCTGAACGTCACACGAGCAGATAAGAGCGGACAGTCTTAAAATGATTGTTATTGTTGCTGGTGTGGTTGTTGTTGTTGGCGTTGGTGTTGGTTTTGTGTTGTTGTTGGAATGGTTGTTGTCGTCGTTGTTGTTGCTGCTGTTGTTGTTCTCCACCTCTTCCGGAGGGCCCTTCACCTCCTCTTTCTCCCCCTCTTCCCCCTCATCATCAACATCATCATCCGCTTCATCATCATCATCATCATCATCATCATCAGCATCATCATCATCATCATCATCATCATCATTAGTGTTCCTCTCCTCCTCCTTCTCCATTTCCTCCTCCTCATTGTCGTCTTGTTGTGCACTTGGTTGCATGGTGTCGAATGCGTTATGCTGCACAGGTTGTGAGTGGGATTGACTTCGGGATCCGCCTCCTCCTTACGTGACGGTTACTCGACCAGCCTAGAATTATAGTTCCCTTCAGGGGCAGCGGATGTATCTTGCCTCTGGACGGGCTTTCTTTCGTCGCTGGTCTTGTCCGCCAGCGTTCCCTAAGAGGAGGAGGAGGAGAAGGAGGAGGAGGAAGAGGAGGAGGAGGAGGGGGAAGCATCTCTCACCTTCCTCCCTCCCTCTTCACATCCGTCCTCCTCCACCTCCTCCTCCTTCTCCTCCCCCCACTCCTCCTCCTCCCCTCCTCCTCCTCCTCCTCCTCCACCTCATCATCCCTCCTCCTTCTCCACTCCTCCTCCTCCTCTTCCTTCTCCTCCTCATCCTCCTCAGCCTCTACTCCTCCTTTTCCTCCTCCTCCTCATCATCACCATCAGCATCATCATCAGCATCATCATCATCACCATCATCGTCATCACCCTCATCATCATCATCATCATCATCATCAGCAGCAGCAGCAGCATCAGCATCATCATCATCATCATCATCATCATCATCATCATCATCATCATCATCATCATCATCATCAGCATCATCATCATCATCCTCATCCTCAGCATCATCCTCATCCTCATCCTCATCCTCATCCTCTACTTCTCCTCCTCATCCTCCTCCTTCTCCTCCTCCTCCCCACGTCCTCCTCCTTCTCCTCCTCCTCCTCCTCCTCCCCTCCGTCTTCCCCGCCGCCCCAGCCAGAGGTGGCAGAGGCTCACCGACGGCTGGAAGCCGCCGCCTCGGCCGCGGCGGGGCCAGGGTGACCGAGGGCGTCGTCGCTGCCGCCGCCGCGCGCGCGCGCGCTGGCCGGCGGGAAAAGCGCGGCCCAAGGAGGAGGAGAAGGAGGAGGAGGAGGGGGAGGAGGAGGAGGAGGAGGAGGAGGAGGAGGAGGAGGAGGAGGAGGAGGAGGAGGAGGAGAGAGGAGGGGAGGAGGAGGAGGAGAGGAGGAGGAGGAGGAGGAGGAGGAGGAGGAGGAGGAGGAGAGGAGAAGGCGGAGGAGGAGGAGGAGAAGGCGGAGGAGGACGAGGAGGAGGAGGGAGGAGGAGGGAGGAGGAGGAGAGGGAGGAGGATGATGATGATGATGAGGAGGAGGAGGAGGGGGAGGAGGAGGTGGAGGAGGAGGAGGAGGTCCGTAGCCATTGTGGCTCAAGATGGGAACAACAGGTCCCATTGCGAGCGGGCAGCTCTCTTCCGAGCTATCCAGCGTGTCGTGCGCTGGCGGACTTTTCTCGTTCCGTGCAGGAGCCTGCCCTGGAGTTGCATGTTTTCTCTCGTTTCTTGATTGCATCTTTGTGGATGCCGCTACCAGCGTAGCGAGCGCAATATGTCAAATGGTGGACAGCGATTTCATTCCAGTGGAGGCAGCCTCCGTCCAAGCCCTCGACGAGATGCCCACCTTCCCATCGCAGGTTTCCCAAGCTCGTCAACCTGTTCGTGCTGCTGCCCATGGTCCCCCTCATCGCATCAGAAGCCGCACATCTCCTCTCCTTGCGGGCGCCCGTGATGAAGCTGACCACCCCACCAAGATGGAGGAGATCAGTTTAGTGAATTACGTGCCCATGTCGATGAGAGTAATAAGGCACATGCTCGCCGCCACCGCCCAAGTTCAGCAGTCAGTATCTAGTCTGGCCTCGACGGTGCAATCGTCGTGTGCATCGCTCTCTCGTCAATTCTAGACGCTTCGCGTAACCCCACCAGCGTGCGCGGCTCTAATTTGCTCCTGTTGTCAATTAGTAGGCCCGCGCCCCGGACTTACGACTCGCCGCTTGCGCTCTCGCTTGCGGCCGCGACCAAAAAAAGTAACCCCGCCAGCCCATCCAGAAACGATGCCCAGAGGAATTGCCTCGATCAGGGAAGTGAGCAGCACACAGAGGAAGGGTCCCCCAGTGGAGGCCTCTTGGAGCGTCTCGGGTGTCTCGGAGAGCTTGGGGCCTCTTGGGGGCCTCTTGGGGGCCTCTTGGGAGCATTTTGGAGGCCTCGTTGGCGCCTGTTGGGGCCTCCTGGGCGCCTCTTGGGGTCCTCTTGAAGCGCTCTTGGGGGCATTGGGAGCGCTCTTGGGGCCATCTTGGGGGAGATCGACCAAACAAGAAACGAACATTAGTTAGCGCTGCCCCCCGGGAGCCCAAACAATCGCTTCTTGGGGCGCTCTTGGAGCGCTCTTAGGCGCTCTTGGGGCCGCCTTGGGGCTCTTTGGAGCCTTTATTTGAGCCCTCTTGGGCCATCTTGGAGCCATCTTGAGGCCTCGGACGGCCATCGGAAGCGAAAAGGCGAGAACGCCAATCACGTAGAAATTTCTCAGGTTTGGGCCTCTTCGGGGCCTCCTGGGGGAGTTGTCTGGCCACTGGGAGCCATCTATGCGCGGTCTTGGGCTTGGGGCATCTTGGAGCAGCGCGGGGGCCATTGTGAGACATCTTGGGGTATCTTGAGCCATTTTGGAGGTCACCTCGGGCTCTCCCATGCGCTCTTGGAGTCATCTTAATCAGTGCCCCCCAAGAGGCCAACATATGGCTAAAACCTTAGTAGAATCAATGATTTGCCATTCCCGCCGAGGCCTCTTGAAGCATCTTGGGTGCCTCTGGGGGGTCTCTCGGGGCCTCTTGGGGGTCTTTGGGGGGCCTCTTGGGGGGGCCCTGGGGCTTCCTGGCCACCTCTTGGGGCCCTCTCGGGGCGCCCGTGGGAGCCTTGGGGGGCATCTTTGGGCCATCTTGGGCAAGGTCGATCGCAGGAGGGGGGGGGGACTAATTAGCACCCCCCCCCTCCCCCCTCTCAGGCGGCCAGAATGGGGCCGACACCCGATTAAAACCAATGATTTGGCCTTCCTCGCCGAGGCCGTTTTGGACGCCCCAGCACCTCGCGAAGGGGGAGAAGGAGGGGTGGAAGAGGAAACTCCCTAAACCACCGACGCCCAGAGGGCTGGTGGCATTTGAATACAGTGTGCGGCAGGTGGAGTCAGCGCAAAAGCAGGCGGACTCCAGGATGGGCAGGATGGAGGAGTCGATTGCGCAGTTGCAGAAGATGTTGGGGATTCTGCGTTTAGAGAAGCCCCCAGAACCTGCCGCCCCCGTTCCAAATTCGTTCGGCCGTGCTCTTGATCCGCGTATCATCGTTGCCCGTGCGGGGACCAACGCCGCCAAATAGCATATTGCCCCAGCTCTCCGTTCGTGGCTTCAGCGAGCGGCCTTGTCCGAGAAAGAGCTCGATGTCGAAGGTGGCCCTGTTTCGGGACGCTTCCAGCTTCGCGCCAACGGGAACCCTCATGTCGCCGCTCGCAGGGCGGGGATGGCGATTGCCAGGTTGCGGAAAGGGCCGCAGCAGTGGGAGAGGTCCCAGACTACAGACGTCGAGGGGGCCCCTGTTGAAGTTCACGCGTCCACGGACAAATCGCAGCGCCAGATCAAGAAAGAGCTGCTCTTCAAGCAGATTCGTCGCGATCACATCCATCCTGGGAAGCGGATCTTTGCCAGCAAAGAGCGCGGGGAGTTATTGATTGCGCGGGGGCCGGTCCTCCGCGTTGAGCCCCAGCGCGAGAACCCGCCGAAGACCTCTTGGGCAATGGAAATCGCGATCCTACTGCAGATCGACAGGCCGAGAATCAAGCAAGCGATCGGACAGTATCTCTGCGGGCCTGAGCCAGTCCAGTGGAGTGGGTGATACTTTTTGGGGGCACTGGCAGGTTCTCTCCCTCTCTCTCTCTCGCACCCTCCTCCCCGGGGAAGTGGAATGCTCGTTCGCTATCCCACCATGATCTTCCTCTTCGGGCCAAGAAGCTGACCGCAGCCGTCTACTTGCGCTGGGTGCCGTAGTTAGTGTTCAGGAAGCGCGCGGGCCCCCAGCTGCCCTCCAGGACTTTGCTTATGACATTCGAACGCCCGTTCTTGCGTTCTCTTCGTTTCTCCCCGAGTTCCCACGCCCCGCGGGGGGGGCGATCGCCTGCGCCCCCGACTTCAATGACAGCCACGCCCAGAAGAAGCCATAGAATATCCCAGAGGTTTTTGTCCAGGGCAGAGTTTTGAAAGTTACTGTCAGGCTCTCTCGGGGCGTCGAATTGATGCGGCGCTCGCAACTTCGGGCTTGCCGCAGCTATAAGGGGCCAGCTTCTGGCCATGATTGAGGGCGACCTTCTTCGAGTTCTGGAAGCGCCGCATCCGAAGATTCCCCCGTGGCGACTTCGACATCTCTGGGCCCCCCCCCCCGTCACCGCTGCGCCCCTGGACTCCGCGGGCGTCGAAGCCCCCGATCCTCCGGGGCCCCCGTCCAGCCTGGGGGGGCGAGCGCAGCGACGCCAGGAGTGGGATCGGTGCTTTTTGGAATCTAGTGGAGTTCGCGGCGGCGGGGCCAACCCGCTACTGCGCAGCCCAAGGTGCCTTGTCGGCGATCGACAGGATCTTTACTACGCTGCCAGGTTGGGCGTTGACACAGCTCGACGCGACCGCCGACGTGAAGGGATTTCCTGATGTGCTGAACCGCATTGGTTAATCGGGCCACGCGGCCTAGGTGGCCCAGGTGAAGCCCCGTCTTCCTCTTCCTGGCGACCAGGGGGCCATCCATCCCGAGGTCTACAAAGGTCCAGCGTACTCGGGGTGCTTATCTAAGGTCTCTGCCACAGCGGACACACATGGTCTTCCCCCTCCTCTCCTGCTGGACTTTCGCGAGCGAATGGCCCGGGATGCCGCCGGAGCTGCCCGGGGCCAGATGGTCCGTCGTGCGCCATCCTCGATCATTTCTCGACTTATCGTTGTGAAATCTATCAGTCGTGCCATCGTCCGTCAACATGTCCCTCTCGGAGATAGATTCGTCCGTACTCACGCTCTCGCTCGTCAGTTCCTCGCCCTCGACCCGATCTCTCGGGGGGTCTCGCTGGGGCAGCCGGCGGACATTTTGGAGTTGGCGAATGCGTTGCATGCTGAAGTTAACCGGCAGGCTCAGGCATAAGCCCGCGCGCGCGCAGGCCGCCACCAGAGAGAGCGAGAGAGCCAAACAACGACGCAAACTTCGAGGACTTCAGAGACGGGGTCGACTCTGGGGGACCTCTAATCGGCGATTGTCTTCGAGGCCTCCAGCAGCAAGATGGGGCCGCCACCGATCCTGGGGCTGTTCTTGGGGGTCAGGCTCAACAACGGTGGGCAAGATTTTATTGCAAAACCGATTGACGCGGCGGCTGCCGACGTGTACCTTCGTCGTTTTGGATTCGACGCTGACCTCTGCGACCTTGCCCCGCCGTCGAATCGAGACATAGACGAGCTCCTCGTCGCCCTGCCAGCCGGCGCGCAAGGCCCTGATGGACTCCCACATGCTGCGTGGCGTCACCCCCCGTCAGGCTCCGCGGTCCTCGAGCAGGTTCTCATTTGGGTCCTCGCAGGCAACCCCATGTTTTACGGTTGCAACGAGCTCCAGGGTGCCCTCGTACCGAAGGAGTTGGAGGTTGGTCCAGGAGGAGATGAACTGATCCGCGAGCCCGCTGCCGTCCGTCCGCTCGGATTGAAAAACGCCGACTGCAAAGTGCTCGCGAGCGTCTGTGTAACATCGTTGTCTCGGCGGGCCCCCCAAGTTGTCGATCCGATCCAGCGGGGGTTTGTTTGCGGGGGGGACCGCGGAGATAATGGTTTAGAGTTCGACGTCTGGGCTAGAGTAGCAGGACTCAACGAGAGGGTTGGCCCCCCCATGCCAGTGCTCGCCCCTTATAACTTCGGGCAAGCTTTCCCCCCGATCGCCCACCAGTGGATTCTTAAGGTGTTCGCCACCCACAATGTCCCTCCTCCGTTGATGACCTTCCTTTTCTCAGAGCGTGAATTATCTACCCCGCTTTCGCTTCCAGGCAAAACCAAGTCATGCCATGC